TTTGACCTCAGAGCTGAAGCCAGGGAAGAACAGCCTTCTTCTGTGACTCTACAGCCTGCCAGCCTGCAGAAAGGAAATCACAAAATTTCGGACAAAATACAGGTGGCAGCGACCAATCAAAATGCCAGTACTGACGTGCCCAAAGCCACAGCCTGACTGGGACCAGCGACTGGCCTGGACCCCCCCAGACCAAACACCACTTCAGTACCTCCCCCATTTCCCTCCATCCCTGCTCTCTCTGTTCCTGATAAAAAGCTGCCTTTTGGGGGCATTATTCTGCACCCAGGTTTGCCTGTGTGCCTCTGTTCCTGCGGCCCCCACACACTGTTCACTGAAGCTCACCTTTTAGCCTCACTGACTGTATAATAACAGACATGAATAATCAGCTCAGTTCAAAATTAAACCATCCAGTGACAGTGACCCTCTGCATGAAACTTAGAACTGGACTCCCTCATCCACAGTTCTGCCACAAGAAGAGCTCTGATGGCAGAGAGGATGAGGCCCTGGAGTGACGCCACAGGGGCAGGAAAGTCGGCTAAATCCCAAAGACGACGATCAGCACCACAGCGCCGGACAGAAACCATAAGATCCCCACGGTCAACTGCAGAACCACCCATGAGGGAGTTAGGAATGTCAACAGGAGGCAGCTGACAGCTGATAATAGCCCCATGGAGGGGGCAGGATCGCCTCCCCCAGCACGGCTCAGAGCCTGCATCATGGGCAGGGGGGGGAGGGTGACCGGTGAGCAGCCTGCTTGTCGTCTCTCTCTCTCTCTCTGAACACAGACAGCCTGGAGGATGACCACCCAGAAGGGACTGCCTCCCCTTATCCCCTTAAAATAAAGACCGCCCCTTTGGGGGTGTCCATATGGAATATTATATGGTACTGTATAACACATAGAGAATGTAATCATTAGGACGCCATTAAGATGATATAACCAGAAGCTGATGTAAACCATACAGAGTGTGACCTTGTAACCTTTAGGGAATGTGGACCAATAACTGCTGCTGCACAATGTGATTAAAAATAGGTATGAATGAGCACCTTGTGTTAGCTTAGGAGTTTCTGTATCTGTCAGCTATCTCATGTTAGCCTCGATCATATGAATATCCACTTTAATTAGTTTCACAGCTTCACAGTATTTTGAAGGCCCAGAATGTTCTATATGAAACAGTGAAAAGTCCACCCCAGGTATTTACTCTAATACACAGTGTAACAAAATATTAAGATTGACTTTTGCCTCATAAACGTCACAGAAACACTTCTTTACAGTGTCGGATACCTGGTAATATTGACCTCAGTATCCCCAGTTTACAGCGTGGGATACCCAGTAATACTGACCTCAGTATCTCCAGTTTACAGCGTGGGATACCCGGTAATACTGACCTCAGTATCTCCAGTTTACAGCGTGAGATACC